CTGCCTGTCTCCCTGGCCTCTGCGCTTCCCCTCCGGCCTTCCCTCGGTCCCTGCTCAAATCCACTGCAGCCCGGCCTCCTGTCCTCCTCCTGTCCTCAGGCTGGGCGCCCCTCGGTGCTGCCCCCACCCCAAGGCCTCTTCCCTGCTCTCCTGGGCCCTTCCTGTCACTGGCTGTTTCTGCCTCTGGAGCAACCTCCGTCCCCCACAGCCCGGGAGCCCCTGACCTGGCTCCTTCCAACAGGCCACACCCACCGGGCTCGTCATTAGCTGCACGTGGATGGCTGGGGGTATATATGAGGGTCAACCTGAGAAGCTTCCTTCAGGGAAGGCGTGATTTATCAGACAATGAGCATCCTCCATGAACATGACCTTTTCAGGCTACGGCTCCATAGGAGAGGCCACAGACCAGGTGCTGACACGCCACGCACTGGTTTGCTCACACTTCTGGAGGCCGCAAGTCCACGATCATGGGGTCAGCAGGGTCTTGTCCTCGGAGGCCTCTCTCTTCCTGGCTCAGAGACGGTCACTTCGGACTGTGTTCTCAATGGTCTTTCCTCTGTGCCCCGGCACCTCTGGAGTCTCTGGGTGCCTCAGAACGTCCCCTTCTTACGAATACCCCAGTCACACGGGCCTAGGGCCCACGCTGCAGCCCGGATTTCATCCATTCCGCTCCTTAGTGGACCTGTCTTCAAATACACCACAGTCTCGAGTGCTGGGGCTCAGGGCTTCGACAGCCCAGCGTTGGGTGGGACACAGCTCAGCGCGTGGCAGTGACCGAGGGCCTGTGCGGTGGAGCCTGCCTGGGGAGTGCAGGGGCCCCTGCTCCCTGTGTCCGTCTCCCAGCTGGCTCCTGACCTGGGCCTCACAGCCCCCCATCCGGACCATACGCCCCCTCTGCACCCCCATCGCTCCCCCATCGCCCCAGCCCTCCCCTCCCTGTCCCTCTCTCAAAGCCCCGAGCTGGATCTGGGCGAGGACGAGCCTAGGGCTGGGGTGGAGAATGCGCAGAAAGAGACACTCAGTGGGTCAGTTCACGTTTCAGTAAGACTTGGGATAAAAAGTAGCTTTGGGGGACACGGGGAGCCCGGAGATCCTCAGAGCCTTTCCAGAAAGCAGAAGAGAGAGGAGGAGGGCAGCCGGGAATCAGAGAGGCCAGGCAACGGCAGCTCGGGCCCTCAGGGGAGTGTGGAAGTGAGCACCTGGGGCGAGGACGACAGGGGCCAACTCCAGCTGAGGGAGTGTGCGCGGCTGTGGGCAGGGTCCCAACACGGTGGCCTGGGACACCCACCGCTCCTGTTCTGTGGCATGGGGACGAGAGGAAGCAGGGGTTCAGCCC